TATATATATATATATTTTTTTTTTTTTAATGTAAAAGCTTGTTTATTTTACCGGGCTTGTCTGTTTGGGTTTGATATTAGGCCCTCGCACCAGAAGAGGAACTCGGATATCAAATTCATAGAGTTGCCTCTTGTCCATCGGAAGAGAAAACTGGCCTGAGAGGAAGAAACAGGCACATGACAAAATAAAAGCTGGGTAAAGTTAGAGAAAAAACATTTCTCAATTATGTAACTCATCATGTACCGGTGTGGTATCCATTGTCGGAGGTGAAAATGATGTAGGTGTTGCTAAGCTCTCCTCTGACCTCCAGCTTTCTCACCACCTTCTCCACCAGGTCGTCTACTGATAGTAAAGTGCGCCACCTTTTGGAACAGATCATCAGTAGCACATTACATCATGTGCAGTATTAAAATATCAAGCAAGCGATTTAAAAGCATCTGAATACCGTTTTCTATAGGCGTTATCCAAGAACTCCACTGAAGAGTTTGTCATGGGTGTTTTTGCTTGTCTGATGAGCCAGTGCTTGTCCTGAAATGCAGGTTGAAATGCTGTCAGATACTCAAAAAAGCATCCATTCAGAACATCTACAACACATCAGGCCCGTACCTTGCCGTGTATGTTAAAGTTAGGGTCTCTTGGTGCTTTAACATTGGGAAAACTGCTCTCGTACTGAGGAGCGGCTGTCCAGGGTGAGTGCGGGGCCGGTGTGGACACCATCATGAAGAAAGGCCTGCGGTTAGACTTGTTTTCCAGGAAGTCAATGGAAATATTGGCCTGGATGGAATCAGAAGCCACTTAACATCAGTTACATGAGGCTTGATGTAGTGTACACAGGTGAGATCTGCTCTTACCAGAACATCTGTAAGGTAATCCTCGCTGTAGTTCTGTCCATGCCGCTGCGCCCTGCCATTCACAGACAGTGTGTAGTTGTAGTATTTGGAGTTTCTCTCCTGTAGGAATATGTTAAAATCATCGCGGAGATTTCACTCTAAACAAATCTGATTCCATAAACTTGTTTAAAAAAAAAATTCAAACAAGTTT